CGCGGTGTGAAACCGGCGGCAAACCGCCTGAGCTTTGATGTAGTCATGGAGTCTAAAGATCGTGGCTTCACATTACATTCGGGGCAGGGTATCTCCTGAGAAGTTAAAAGTGGCTCACCGCTTTACACAAAATTCGAACGTTCATAGTCGCTATAGGAATCCATTACAAACTACCAGACACTATTACCTTTAGATACATTTTACTGTAACTCTCCCATCTACTTCCAGATCTTCCAAATTGTCTCTTCCTTTATGATTTCTAACAAAAATTCTCTTTCCCGTGCGTGTTACACGTCTCTTCCATCTTATGTTCTTTGATTCGATCGAATAAATAACATTTGGCGATGAAATTGTTTATTGTAATAATAATTTAATGTTTTACTTACTCTGAGCTGCCCACATCGTGAAATTGCGTAGTTCTTTCAAATAAAGGCGACTCTGGGTCTTACATCTCGAGCTATGGATCTTGTCTGAAGCAGCCAGGAGTACAGTCAGCAAATGAGGTGCCACAAACCAGTCTTGCAGAAGAATGTAATCCTCGTACATTGTCTTATTTTCCACGTCTCTCGGGATTGTAGTGATATTTGCTTCCGTGTGAGAAGATTCTGTCACATTATACGCGTTTGGTGATCCAATTACGTCAGCTGTAGAACAGAACAGTAACACCGCGGTTATCATGCGAAGCATTTTCGCGGAGAAATTTAGAATTGTCTGTGTTGTGTTGAGTTGGGTTGCGGTGTGACTGGTCAGAGACTGACTGGAAAGTGTTTCTGATAAGAGAGAGATGTGTGACGTGGATGTTACCAAGAGCGGAGGGGAGGGGACAGGAGACATTCTTCTGCATATCCTCGACCAATCCTAATCGTTATATGCGAATGTGTGAGCAGTGGCGTTAATTGTGATGTATTTTACGTTATTAGTAAAAATGTTGACGACTTTTGAAAAAAGATATAATTTAAATTTTTTTTTAAATACGATATTTTCTAAAAAATAGTTGTTTTTCATCATTTTTCGTTGTTACTTTTTCTTACTGTTTATCTTTGCTTTTTCATTCTCCCTCTCTTGTTCGTATCTTATTTTCTATATTTGCACCGATTCAATATAACCAGTTCGTATACTAGATACCTGAGGCTTTTTGTGGTTATCCTCAGGAACTCCAGGCGAAATTTATTATAGTGCATTGAAACAGAGTACGATCACTTCCTACAAATTCCTTTAACGCGATTATGCTATAACGTTCATCGCTGAATAACCGCTGGAATTGATAACAGCGTCTTTAAATATCGTGTTATTGAACCATTCATCCAGTTTTGATTTGGGAGTCGAAGGAATGAGGGGTGAATATTGTCCCCTGTAAAGTGTATACGACGTTCAGTTTTGCTCGCTTGGACTCCGTTGTTCGTGTCTCAACGTTGTACTATTTTGAAGTGACCTTGAAGCACGCAATTTGTTAAAGGTTACGATCTTGAAGTGTGTCATGGCCGATACATTGTATCTGCCCAGCGCACTGTATAAGTCACACCTGAATCCGGTTAACTTACTAGAAGACGTAACATGTCATGAAAATCCCGGAACTCGAAACAAACTCACTTTGTCAAAACAGACCTTGAGCATAACTAATTGGTCCTTTGCCTAATTAATGCTGGTTTTTTTCAGCTATTAGGTGATAAAACGTCGAATAGGGTGGAGAAATGTTAAAGTGTGAACTGAAAAGGATTTGGAAGGAATCGGTCATGACATATTTTAAGGTACTACCCGACATTCCCGTACAACTAGCGAGACTGAGGAAAATCACGTATTATCAGTCAGGATAGTCGATAGCAGTCTAGATTCGAAATAAGTAGGTCTTGAACGAGTACATAAAGAGTTTGGAATCATATATTTGGTCTGAATTACTTAAAAGATGAAGTGTCCTATCTTCGCAGTTTATTGTTTGTTTCAGAAGCTCGTATGAATGCAATTCTTACCCCCCGTTGTCTTACATTTCTCATTTTCGGTTTTTTTCATAACTTATTTTATTTTATTTTATTTTATTGTTTCGTTATATATCTTCCTTTATTTTTAGTCGTTATTTGAAGTTTCGTGGCCAACAAAGCCAACAGGCAGAATGACAGGCCTCTGTTTCGAGAGTCGAACTCAGGACTTCTCAACCTGTCGTCCTCGAACGTTGATACAGACGAGGTCCTTGAAACATGAAGACGTCATTCATTGATCCGAAATTTGAGGACATTAACAGTTAACGTTGAGAAACTGAAAGTTGTAACATAAACAAAGCCCTATTGATATTGAATTATGTTTTTAATATAATATAGTAAAGGTGACCTTGAAATATCTATTATAATTTATGTACGAAGTACAGTTTATTTTAGGTCCTGCATACTGACGCGGATGATTGATGTCAGTTTGACGATAATGAAATTGAAAGTCTTTATCTACTTTCACTTACGACTAAAATCGGTCGTGCGTTTCACGGACAGCGAGCGGTTTACTCTGGCAGGACTCACGTCGACATACGTCTTGTTTCAGTTGAGCAAAATCAAAGGAAGGCAACCGGTTGAAGTAACATGCATCTTTGATATCAGAAAAATGCTGTAGAAGGATGATAAAAAATGAGATGATAAAGTTGCGTCATATTGTGATAAATAAATATTTGTTTAAATCTTGTCAGTCTAATCACAATAAAATTCCTATTAAATATTAAAATATTACCATAATTAACATTTAAATATTTAAAATATATTAAATGATATTCTCTAT